AGCATTTTTTCTTTGTAAGAGTAATATTTATATTCGCATACAAGTATTTACAATTTTACTAAACATTGTTTACAAAACAGCCACAGCCACCGGATCGCGGTCTCGAATCCCCTGCGGATGTATAGCGAAATAGCTAACATCGCTCTCCCGCGTTCTGGTCCGGAGCCGATTCGAGATCGCGACCCGGTGGCTGTGGTTAAGGTGCGACGCGGTGGCTGTGGTTAAGACGCGCGATGGTGGTTGTAAGTAATAGGCACTAGCTGTACCTGCGTGCGTATAACCAGAACTATATCCTTGGAGAGTGAGACACAAGGACCGCGCACGCGGAGGGTGTCGCTTTATTTGCCGCCATATGGTGAGAAGAAGTGTGGCACGCTGGTGGAATAGTAAACCCATGCTGGTGCGAGTGATGAACATCGAAGCAGGGAGAAGGAATTTGCTTCGTTTGAAAACTAACACTGTCGATGCGTCTAATAATAGCCTTGAGGTGGTGAGATAGTTGCGTAGTAGAGCCAGGCTGGTGGAGTGTCAGGTGGAGGAAGAAGAAAACCAGCGCTGGCGTGTGTGACTAACTTTAAACCAGGAAGGTGATTGATGAAGTAAGTTAATCAGATGGAAAAGTAATAGGATGGATATGGTGCCTACGTTCTTGATGTGATTTAAATCAAAAAAGTGCCATGCAAAAACGTCCCTTGATCCTCATACGGAGCGAAGTGATGTCTTAGGAGTATTTAGTTTGATTTTGTTAGAAGATATATCTGGAGAGCTAGAGAAATAAGATTAGTTTTTGTATGATCTAGATCTCTTCGCTGCATTATGCCGAAGAAGCGTCCAGGTAGAAGAGAACGGGCGTGGAGACGTCAAAATAGTCCAGAAGTGGTTCCTCCTCCACCACCAAGGTATCGGCACATGACTGATTTTTCACCTTGGGGTGGTGGTGTAGTGTCTTGGGAGACCGATACACTGTCCAACGGAGAACAAAGTCCCTCAGTTCATACTGCTGAGTGTGATTTTCATCCGATTATGCCAGCAAGTTATAGCCATAGCATTGATTTCGGCACGTGGGGTGGTCCACTAATAATTCTTCGCTCGTTGGTGCGACAGTGCCGTCTTTCTCTGGCAGAATGTACATGCATTCTTGTATGACCTCGCTTTTTTCAGTTATTGGGTGCGTAGTGTGTTGAATGTATAAAATTGCTCTACCTTAGATCGCAGGATAGTTCTTGTAGTCAAGAGATTTTCCCTGAGCCCCCTTTGTTGAATTTATTTCGTATTGTGAATCAATGTTCTTCATGAAAGTGCTGCTCTATGTTCTTGCTGTTGGTAAGTATATGAGATTGATGAATGGTTTTCCGATGTAGTAAGAGATATAGCGTCTTCATTGTTTAAAGGAAGTCCGTAGGTTGTGTGGTGGTATTCTGTAGGTTTCGTAAAAGGTAGGGCTCTTCGTAGTTGAGTCATTGTCTCTAGCTCTCCAGATTAAAGCGTAAGACTTGAACAAGATGTCGACCGCTGGTTTTGGTGGATTCGGTGGCTTTGGTGGATTCGGCGGGAACGGATTTAATGACAATAATCCACTTCGCAGTGGATGCAGTAGCAACACTAACGATAAGGCTGCGCATAAGCGTAATCGATCACCAACGGGCGACGCCCTAGGTGATTTACTGCGTAACATGGACTCGAACACGAAGAAGCGCTTGCTGGAGCGAATGAGCTGTGGAGTATCTTTTACTTGTCGTTTATTGTCGTTTTTTTGATTGGTGGAGGATAAGTGAGGGACATCGTCTTCAGCGGTCTTCTCTTGGAGTAGTGGGAAGTAAATTCGTATTACACTGCTCTCTCAGGTGACTGAGCCAGCTGGTGTGTCGGATCCTCTTGGTGGAGCACCTACAGCTAGTGTCGCTGAGGAGGCAGCAGAAACGACAGGAGAAGGAATTCCGTTTATGGTTGGCCATGAGTATGCAGATTCATGGATATTGTGTTACATGTGTTGCTTCTCCTCATATCTCTAATATCTTTTTGGCTGCTGCTGAAGTGGAGGGAACCCATGAAGAGGCAGTGGTGGAGGAAGTAGCATCAGAACCAGCGGAGATCGAGAAGCCTGGCGATCGTTTTAAACAAGAGCAGATGGCGCACAGGGCCCGCCTACATGCAATGCTTACGACTGAGCTAATTTATTATTTTATTGGTCTCGTATTTTTTTTTGTGTGGTCACACTTGCTCGAGGGGTGGATGATGTAAATTGTCGGAGATTCTAATACAGTGGGAGGCGCAGAGCCGCAAGGACAACAACAGCAAAACCAACCTGGAGGATACCAACATCGTCAGCAGCAACCTGTCGCAGAAGTGACACCTGTAACCGTGCCACGCTATGAAGCAAACACTCAGGGGAATGAGCCCGCGGTAGCAGTTGCTGATCTAACGACGAGCCCACTACTCATGGACTACGTGTCTACCCTGCACGTGTCTGCTGAACTTTCTGGCATTTTTTACTTCTGTATCTTCTTCTCCAATAAAGTAGGATAGTTCAAACAGTACGCTCCTCCTAGTTTTTTCTTTAAGAGCCAGGATCCCCACCAAACCAACGCTAGTAGACGAAGGCCGAATAATAGTAAAAGAA